GTCTCCCCCCCCCCACCTCCTTATGCTGCCTATTTTCTCCTAGATGGCCATGCCAAGAGTGGACATTGATGGATGCCCCCTGACGTGGGGGGGGGGGCACATGAGGCATCCTTCCCAATGTTGAAGGGGCTTGCAAAGAAGTTTTTGGCTATCCCAGGAACAAATGTGCCATTTGAAAGTGTGTTCAGCTCGGCTGGCAATGCTCTTCAAATACAAAGAGCATCTCTATTGCCAGAGAATGCCAAAATGCAGTTTTTCCTTGCGAAAAATATAAATTTCATTTTATAATTTTTGTTCTGTAAAATGTTCAGTAAGTGATGCCTGATTGGCAAGGATGATCCATTCAGCAAAGAGAAAGAAGAAGAAGCCAAAGGAAACAATGGCACCAAACACGGTTTTTAAAAGGTGAAGATTTGCCAGGAATGAATGAATGAATGAATGAATGAATGAATGAATGAATATATATATATATATATATATATATATATATATATATATACACACTGTATTTTTCTGTGTATAAGACTAGGTTTTTTTATTTAAAATTAAGTAATGCTAAAAAGTGGGGGTTGTCTTATACACGGGGGCAATCTCCCCCAATTTTCTCTATTTGGAGTCCCAAAAAAGAGGGGGTGTCTTATATACGGGGGCGTGTCCTACACAGAAAAATAAAGTATGTACATCCCACTGAAATGGCTGTTTTAAGCCTAAAAATTGAAACAGGAAAATGCTTGGCAATAAACCCAAGGCACATTATTTTATTTAATACTTTTCCTATATCATTTTTGCATGGTTACCTCTTTGGAAGATTGAACCCAAGGGCTTCAAAATCAGTGCTGCCACCTAAGCAGCTCTTCTCAACTGCCTGATCAAGCTCTAGACACAACAAATCCCCGGCTCTAAATGTCAGCAATCAAAGGGGCTCAGGATGCCTAGATTTTCCATTAAGGCACAGACAGTGAATCTGATTAAAGGTCAAATGCATAGACTAAAGGAAATCAAACTGGCTGCAAATAAGAGCATTTCCTAACTCTTTGTTTGCCACAGAAATATTCACAATACAGGAACACAGTAAGCTGCCTTATATACCAAGTGAGACCATTGGTCCATCTCAAAGTTAAAAAGGTAAAGGACCCCTGGACAGTTAAGTCTGGTCAAAGGCGACTGTGGAGCATGGCACTCATTTCACTTCAGGCCAAGGGAACCGGCGTTTGTCCACAGCTTTCCAGGTCATGTGGCAAGCATGACCAATGCTGGATTTAAATATAAGCTAAACAAGCTATAGCTTAGGACCCCACTCTCTTGGGGCCCCCCAAAAAAATTAAAGGAAAAAAGCAACTGGATGTACATTTCCAGAATATGATAAAAAAACCCAAATAAAATAAAACCTACATACAGCAACAGTGTTTTGTGTTGTGCACCTCCACCTGTCAGAGATGAAGGAGAGGGTCACTCAGATGGTACCAGGAAGTGGGGCTGTCTCAGGACCCTTTGCTGTGGTTCTTGTTCTGACATTGTGAGGCCCCTCTCAGCAAACATGTGTCATGGCCACCCAATGGCATGAGGTGGACTCCCCTACTTCAAGGCAGAGACTTAGAAGACATCTGAAGGCAGCCCTGTTTAGGGAAGTTTTTAATGACTGATGTTTTAATGTATTTTTAACCTTCTGTTAAAGGGATGCGGGTGGCGCTGTGGGTTAAACCACAGAGCCTAGGACTTGCCGATCAGAAGGTTGGCGGTTCGAATCCCCACGACGGGGTGAGCTCCCGTTGCTCGGTCCCTGCTCCTGCCAACCTAGCAGTTTGAAAGCGCTTCAAAGTGCAAGTCGATAAATAGGTACTGCTCCGGCGGGAAGGTAAGCGCCGTTTCCGTGCGCTGCTCTGGTTCGCCAGAAGCGGTTTAGTCATGCTGGCCACATGACCCAGAAAAACTGTCTGTGGAAGTGGCTGGTTCCCTCGGCCAGTAAAGCGAAATGAGCGCAGCAACCCCAGAGTCAGTCACGACTGGACTTAACTGTCAGGGGTCCCTTTACCTTTAACTTTTACAATATAAATACAGTAGAACTAACTAAATAAAAGATAAATGTAAACAGTCTTACAGTTCTGCCAAACTCATTTGCTTTTTTAAAATTTGTAATCCATAGTTAATACTGTGCTGATCTGTACAAAGAAAGAAAACCACCTCCCTCCCCACCCCAAGTCTAACATATGATGTAACAGGGATAACTCTCTCTCTCTCTCTCTCTCTCTCTCTCAGGAGTTAGCATCCCTTCCAAATCAACCCCCCCCCCCCCGTTTCCATCTCTGCCACCTTTCAAGAAGGGCTGGGGCAGAGTTCCCGCCATCAAAGGTCTCAGGGGCAGTTACACAGGCAGAAGCTCCCAGCCAGGGTCCAATCCATACATAACCTTGTTAGACCCAGTCTCTCTGCAAATCTGCTAAATATTCTTCCAAAATCCTCCGTCTGCTTCGGGAGACAACACTGAATCTTGGTGTTTCACCTGCTGCTATTGCGCTGGGAGCCTGTCTCCACGTGCAGGGGAAACACGTCCCCGGTAGCATCACTATGGTGCCTTATGTCACAATCAGCCCCTCCTTTGTCCCCCCCCCCGCCCGCCGCCTGAGTAAGCGGGAGCTGCAGCCTTGAGGTGGAAGTTGCCCGGGCGCAAAGGCGCTGACTTCCGAGCGGGCAGGCAAGGCGGGTGCACCAGAAAGCTGCCGGAAAGCCCGCGCGCAACCCGGGAGCAGAAGAGGCCAGTGCGGAGCATCGCTTCCACGCCAAGCCGCTGGATCCCAGGGCTCTATCTGGCCGCCGGGAAGAAGCAGGTGAAGGAGGGGCGTGGAGGCAGCTGCCCCCCCCCGGCTCGGCTCCTCCCTCCCCTCCTGCTGCCGGGCAAGGGCGCCCGCGATGCAATGGCGTGCTTTCGAACTGCTAGGTTGGCAAGAGCTGGGACAGAGCAACAGGAGCTAGCTCACCCCGTTATGGGGATTCAAAATGCGGACCTTCTGATTGGCAAGCCCAAGAGGCTCAGTGGTTTAGCTCACAGTGCCACCTGCATTCCATCTATCTCAGTATTTGTCTACGCTGATTGACAGTAGCTCTCCTGGTTTCAGACAAGAGGCATTCCCAGCCGTACCTGGAGATGCCAAGGATTGATCTTGGGACTTCCTGCATGCAAAGCAGACGCTCTGTTCTGCCCCTTCAGCAAACCACTTCTGTACATACATTACTTTCTCATGCTTAAAATGCACCACAAAAACATTGAGAAACATTCGGTTCTACATTTGTTTTATTTGTTAATTCTTTTTATTTTCATTCACTGAAAAGGCAGTTCCTGCACAAATTACTTTTCACGTGACTACTGCATTATCTGGGATACCGGAAGTCTTTATTAGACATTATGCTAAGTAAGCCACAGCTGGGCATTCAGTGAGTTTGTGGTTGGTGAGCATCTCTGGCTGTCTCTGCACATCGCCCACTTATCCTTCAGGTATTACTAAAAAGAATTTAGTTCTTCTTATGAATATAAGCAAAGCCAATAAATTAAGACAATTCTTTAGCTGATCTCTTGACCCTAGGATAATGCGCAACAAGAAATTCTGCAGAATGGCAATCACACAATGGGAATCAATTTAATCAAGTGTAGGTCCAAGAAGTGTGGCTCAGAATCGGGACCCATTAATGCAGGTTTTGCAAAATTCCTAGAACTCTTGAGTGGGATACTAATTCACCTCTCAAGAAGTCCCTTTCTGGTAAGATCATTTGTGAGGTTGGAAGAGATTAAGAATTTATATTTAGTACTCTTCCAGATGTTAGTGTAGTACAACTCCCATCAGCCCTGACCATTGGTCATGGCAAGTGGGGCCAAAGGGAGCCAGAATCCAACAACATCTGGAGGGCCACAGATTTACCACCCCTGCTGTAAAGAGTACTAAATAAATATATTTAAAAAGTTAAATAAAACATAATACAGTTATTTGATTTCTGCTTTTTATAGTTTTGTATTTGTAAAACAAGCAGTTCAAAACCTGCAATGTGATCTTCATATCTTGATTCACAATACTTATGGAGAAACATGACAGGCAAAAACAAAAGCACTGAAACTATTCACTTTTTTAAGAAACATTTTTGGTTGTACTGAAAAGCTCCCCTTTGAATAATTTTCTTCTCTGAAATCCTCTGTGTGCACCAGAAACTTTTTATTGATATACATGCAGACATCTTGGGAGAAATTGTGGGGAAATAATTAAATTTGGAGGAAAAGCTATGGCCAGGAGATTGCACATCATCTAAGAACAGTATAGCTATACAAATCTGAATCTTATTAAGGACATCAAAATTGGTGAGGCTATAATACTGGCATCAACAAAAACACATATTACTGAACAGTGAATATAGGCATTTACTGGTAATTCTGAAGATTTTAAAATGTGCACAGGGGAAAATATTATGTGCATAACTAAATGTCAAAGACTACAAAGTGCATTGGGGCGTATGGGGATGTTAGGGGAGGGGTAGTACCTCTGTGGGGTAGATATGTCGTACTCCTTCTGCAGTTGTTTGTCCACCTTTGGTCTCCACCATGCACTCCTAGAAGCTGTCAACATATGACAGTGGCCACACCTCAGGAACAGCTTCAACTGGCCAGCTAAACCAGGTGAGGGTAGCCAATGGATTTCAAACCTTTGATGAGCGAGGGACTTTTCCTGCATGTGGAGACAGGCTCCAGCAGATTGAGCAGGTGAGGCCAATAGTGGATCCAATGGTCAAGAATGTGGTTTCTGCACGTGCTGTAGAGGGAAGTGAGGTGCAGGTGGGGCTTGTCAACCTGGAAGGTAGCCCATCTAGGAGAAGGAAAACTCTGATTCTAAACCTTTGCTGCCTTGCAGGATATCTTCATAGGAAGAAAAGACCAAGGAGTAAACCCTACACAAATCCAGAGTAGCATCCCTAAGACTGTTGGATGGTGCCTTGTAGGTCCCCTCCCAGCAACTCCTGCAGCCAAGCTGGTGCCAAACATATTGCTCTGCTTTCCTTTGGACCACATCAGGGTGGTCTTGTCATCTGGGCAGCCCAGGACCTCCAGACACATGGCTCAGGCTTGTGCCTCAGGGAGGCGACTTTGGTGCTGCAAACACAACAGTTTGACTTCACTCCCAGAGGCACACTCCATTGTCTCTCAAGACAGACGGATGGCAACAAGAATACAAACTGCGTTCAGTAGATGTTCAAATACCATGCTGAATTCTTTCAAGTCTTACCTGCCATTTCCTGCTGACCCTCTTAAAACCTTAAGAATTACCAGTAAATGACAGCATCCACTAAGTTTAGGTTACTGAAACGTATTCTCATTTACGCATACAATATGTATCAGTTGTACGTAGATGCAAAGCATCAAACAATTATTGGCACTGAAAATTAGACTATTCACTAGCAAATATGGCATAGGCCTTTTGATTTCTGTACTTCAAGCCTCTTTGGTCTTGTATTTGGAAAACAGGCAGTACAAGACGAGCAACGTGGTCTTCATATCTCGGTTCATGAGATCTGTGAAAACATAAGGCAGACAAAAGTAGAATGGGTAAATTATACATCCTTGAGCTAAAGAGGAACAGCCCATATAACACCTTGAATTTGCATTCCCTAGAATGGAATGGGGGAACCAAGGCAGCTACCACAAACCCAAAGCTCAGGAACAGAGGTGACGGTTGGGATTTCGTCCCATCTGGAGGGTGGGCACCCAGCGAACTGCCATTATGCATGTCTGCCCGGTTCTCCCTCCTGCGTGATGTCCGGAATAATCATCTGTCTCCTTCCCGACAGGACTCCGTGACCCACGTCTTCCAACAGTAGGCACACATTAGCAGAGTAAACAAATCATCAGCAGAAGCCAGGCCCGAGGTGGGGGCACTAAAGCTACTTTATTATTGACAGTTCAGAACAAAAGGAACATGTCTCCTCTCCTTCTTGCTCTCAAAGAGAAGGGAACAAAAGCAATACCAAAACAAAACAGTGAAAGTCAAAACATCCGTTCTTGTGCTGCAACAGCTAGTGCTGGAATGTATACAGACATCTGAGAAGTGCTCCTAAGGTGATATGGAAACATGAAGTGTAAACGCACCCCTTCTTGTACAATGACTAACCTTCAGGGTTGATAGGTACATCCAGAAGGCCTCCATCCATTAGCAAGTCTACTGCAAGGCTTGCATTGTGTACCTGAGAAGGGTCAACAAAAGAAAAGGTGGTGTCAATTCTGGAAAAATTATCACCAATGGAAAACAACAACATATTACCGTATTTTTCTGTATATTGGACGCCCCCATGTATAGAATTGCCCTGACTTGTTGAAATTTTTTGGGAAAGGATTGCCCAGAGGCTAACAGCCCCACCTGTCTAACAGGCCACCTATCAGCTGTTCCCTCGCCAGCAATCACTGAGCTTTGGGGGGGGGGCAGAGTTGAGCTTGTTTTGGGGGGGAGTGGTGAAGCTTTTTTTCCAATTACTTTTAGCACTTTTCGCCTTCCCCACGGAGCCTCCATTCAGTATTCTGGTTGCCTCCTCCCACTCTGCCTGCCCTACAGCTGGGAGGGAGGCTGTAGGCAGTCTGTTTTTGCCATGTGGTGTCTTTGCGCGGCTCCATTTGTGCAGGGGCGGTGCAACGTTACTCAGGAGGAGCGCAGCGATTGAAGTAATAGTCCCCCTCTGCGCCTTGAACATTAGCGAAACATCGCACCTTGCACTCCTCCTGTGTAACGTTGCGCCACCCGTGCACAAATGGAGCCACGTGAAGACGCTGCGCAGAAAAAACAGATCACACATGCAGCCTCCCCCATGCAGCCTCTGCCTGTAGGATGGGCAGAGTGGGAGGAAGCAGGCAGACTGAGAATGCCCCACGAGAAAGGCGCAGAGGAGAGAGATATCTTCGATCACTGTGGCCAACATGGCAAAGTCAGGTGAACGCCAAAATGCACACCAGCCCAAGAGGGCTATGTGATGGACAGCTGAGCCAGACGCAGTGCCTCAGAATTCCACCAGAGGGCTGGAGCCTCTCTCTGATTGGCTACCTAGACAGATAGACAAAGGTGGGCGGAGCCAGAACTTTGGGAGGGAGAATAAAAGGAGCCATTTCAGAGAAAGCATTCTGATGGGGAGATGGTTTAAGAGAGAGCAGGCGGGAGAGAAAAAGAGTTGGTCCTAGTCTGCGTGTGTAACATCTACCCTGGGAAAATTATCTACAGCTAGAGAAAGGAGTCTCTGAGCTTAGACAGGAAGACTGTGTTGAGTGTCTTGGGAGAGCATTCAGACTGAGTTGGAGCCAGGAGAAGGAGAAGCTGTGAGGATACTGTCTCCTTGGGTCTCCTTCCAGTCAGGAGGGGAGAGATCTTCCAGAAAGAGAAGACTCCCAAACCAGGAAAAAAGGGGTGCGTGGGGATCCCCTGGGTCTGTTAGGCTGCCAGAGGTATCTCAGGAGTATGACTGATCAAAGGCTGGGAAACAGACAGAAAGTACCACCTCCTTGTTTAAGAACCAAAGTATTAATCTGTAACACCTACACAACAACTAAGTTTAGGAACTGAAGTGAAATAAGTGGAAGTAAACTTTTGTCTAGAAACCTGTAACATCTGAGGAGTAAAAACTGAATTAAAGCAGCTGACATTTAAAAGAAGCTGTGCATTTATTACCTTGTTTAGAAGCCTGTATCATCCACTAGATTAAGTATAATTATTAATAAGTTAACTGTTTCCTGAAAGAACATTATCTCCTGACACATCCTTTGTTTTATTAACTTCGTTCTTTAAAACTAATATGTCTTATTTTTTCAACTTCTGCTTGAGTCTCCAAGGATCTAAGTTTACCACCACACAAAAACCACGAAGATAAACTGTGGAGGTTACATGTAGTATATAAGTTGGTGGGTTCTGCCACAGTTGGTAGCCAGAGAGGTGGGATCCACTTCACTTTGGTGACACAACGGTGGGATCTGCTACAGGCCGGTTTATTCCCTTTGCATGGGGCACCTAAGAAGCTTGGAAATAATGTGGGGAAATTATCTGTGTGTCCCACCTATTATAGTTTATAGTTGGGCCTCCAAATGCCCTGTACCCACAATTGGGTGCATAAAGAATAACTTACCATCTCTGCAGGGGAACTTGGTTTCAGGAAAAAATCTCCCAGATTCACGAAATAGCCCTGAAGCTGCCCAATTAGCAAGAGTAAAATAACCCCATCTGCAAACTGGGGGGAAATGAACAGAAGCATTACATTAAAGATTATTAAAATGATCGCAGGGTCAGTTTTGTAATCCACAAGACCTCCATGACCTAAAGAACTTTCCTGCCGGACAAAAGCGTCTTCATATTTGCCCCCCAAAGCTTACCAAAGCTTCTGTGTGCAGCAGCACAAAACAGTCATGCAAAAACTTATTGAAGTGCTACAATACTATATGTTATATATCACCCACGTCTGTATGTTGCAGTCTGAATCCAAATTTCAGCACTTTAGGTCCAGTTCATAGGTTATCAGTGTGACAGGTAAGTCATTTATCTCTGGCTAGATTCCAGTGCCATTTGAATAAAAGAATCATGTCAACTATATAGATCAAGTTTTAAAGTTGCTTATTATTTTGACAAAAGACAACATCCAGATAAGGATTTCTCTTAGTGCTGATCTTATGCCAAGAATTAAAAATTCTTTGTAGGTGGGATATATGAAAAACTTTTGCATCGCTTCACTTTCCAGGGTACTAATGTGTGTTAGCAGAGAACAGAAAGCTGGACTTGCATCTGACAAGAACAGATTCAAGTCCCACCTTGGCTGCAGATGCTGGGCCACTGCACATGTTAGGTCATAGTGAACCTGGGTTTGCCACCAGATGTACATTTGGTGGGAAGCTGTAGCAAATCCCGAGTCCGATGAATATGAATGTATGATACACATGCTTCCAAACACATGCATATCTAATTAATACATTTAATTTCTATGCATGCAATAAAAACAAACAAACCTTAGATGTGCACCAATGTGGTGTAGTGGTTAGACTAGGACCAGGGGGGTGCAGGTTCAAATCCCCATTCAGCCACAAAGCTCACTCAGTCACCCTTTCAGTCACTATCTTGGAACTTAACTACTTCACTGGCTCATGGAAATGATAAAATAGGAGAAGGAAACTATGTGCATAGCCAGAGCTCCCTGATAGAAGGAAGAAATAATAATGGCATACATAAATTGAAAAAATGGGCTTCCTGCAAGCATCTGAGATATTGAAATGAAGAATGAAATCAAGGAAGCCCTCACTTAGCATGCTTACTCTCTATAAATTGTTTTTTTTAAAACCACATAAGGCAGGTGTTTAAACTTGATTTCCCATCATTTGAAGTAGTCCTTGTTGGGAATTCCATTCCACCCTTTGCTGCAGATATGTGGGGTTGTTATATGTCACATGTCTGTTTACATTCCAGCACAGATTGCTGGAATCCCATGAGCAGAAGTTCCGCTCTGCATTGCTTTTGTTTTCTCTCTCTCGGAGAAGAATGACAAGGAGAGAGGCCATGTTTTTCTTTGCCCTGATTTATGTAGAATAAATGCGCAGTTTAGTACAGCATCCATGCCTCGAGCCTGATCTCTTGTGTGTTTACTCTGCTGAGTAATGTGTGCTCTTGCATGCACAGCAGCTTGAGTTGCAGACGCATGGCAGAGGAGTATGGCTGATGGATCTCCGCAGCAGCAAGGCTGAGAAGGGAGACGCTTCGGCTGGGGCCAAGCCAGCTGGCTTTTCATCCCCGGTTCCGACAGTCCTGCCCATGAAGGATGCAGCTACATATTGTTCATGTGCTCCACACTGACTTATTATGTGGCCTTCATCAAGTTGCAGCCCCAACCTGTGTTTCCCATCTGTAAAGGGAAATGCTTAGTGATAGGCCTCCAAGGGGTGATCTGAGGGCAAACACCATAAAGCATTTCATAAATTAAATGCAACATAGGATCATGAGTAGGATATATTTACCTGAGAATCAATGTCTTTCACACTTAGTCCTAACTTCCCAACATGTCTGTTGACAAACTTCAAAAATACCTAAAGGAACAGAGCATGGCATCAAATCACCATTTCTTGGTTATATATCACATTATAAATTGTCTGGGGGAAAACAAAACAAAAACCTGAGGGTGTTTGTTCTACCTCTTTCACTGCATCCACTTTCTCTGGAGCATGTGCCATTAATTCATCAAAGATTTCAGCTTCTAGAGTAAAGTACCAAATTGATTATTTTCAATATATTTCACCACATGAGAGTTTTTCTGTATTATGTTTTGCAATGCAGGTCATAATGACCCATATCTTAGCCCAAAAACAAAGGAGGATGGAGGTGGAGTGCTCTGCATATGGCTTCTTTGTGGGCTTGTGGGTCTATGCGCCATCCCATCCTCTCAATTGCCTTTTCCTCCCAATGCTGTCATTCTGTACTACAGAAATGTGGGTTGCAATCCTATACACATTTCTCTGGGAGAAAGCTCTTTTGATCTCAATGAGATTGACTTTTAACTACTTAGGATTGCACCCTTAGACTGGAAATTCCTTGGGACAGGAACCTGTCTTTCTGTATGTTTGTTCAATAAAGCATCAAATCTATGAGGGGGGCTCCCTAGATGTTGCTGAACTCCCATCATCCCCCCTGACTATGGCCATGGTGGCTGGGACTGGCGGGAGTTGAAAGCCCAATCAATCAATATTTATTACAGTCAAAGTCAAAGACAACAGAAAGAACGATAATAACACATTTAACTACATCAGCACCCAGGGGCAGAAGCGGCAGACAAAATCGGAAATGTCATATATATTTCTTAACATTCTTAACATTAAAAGGAATACTCCATCAGCTAAAGTCTGAGATCCAGAGTCTAAAATCAATATTCATTCAAGTCTTTGTCAGCAACAAGGTATTTCCTATGAGCGGCTAGGTAGTTAGTTTCCTTAATAAAGGTTGAATTAGTTCTTTTCGGCTATCATAGTATAGCAGGCAGTATAAGAGTACGTGGGCAATTTATTCAATCTCTTCTGAATTACCGGTACATGGGCACAGCTACAATTATAACATTATAAGTCTCAACAGCCCTAGGTGACTTTCCAGCTCATACCTAACCTCAGAATAATTATTTTCTGCTGCTATGTGTAGAAGTTTAGTAAAACAATGGTAGTTCTTCATATTTAAGAAAGAACATCAGGCGATTGTCGTTGATGATGAAGATATGAGGCTTTTTGCAGAGAACAATAACTGCCACAGAGCTTTTCAAAAGAGATCATGGTGGAGACACACTGGAATAAGTCCTTAGTTCTGTAACTTACGTGAAGAACTTTCGTCAGGTTCCCTAAATACCCAACAAAAGGAAAGATGAGTTAGAAAACAAGCAAGTAGGCATCTGAAGTAGTAGGTGGTTGCAGCCCACAATATCTCAGGCTGAATAGTTAATCTCTGGGCTGCGACAAGCCTCATGTGGCAGAAGCCGACACATATTTACTTGGACATAAAATTGCACAGCACTCCAACCTCGGTTATGTGAACAGTTTCTCATGCCTGCCTTTCTAGAATTTGTCACTATGAAATAAGAGACTGAAATATAAAATGTAGCTGTTACCTGAGTCTCTGGCTCAAAAGTCAATAAAGGTTTATCTTATAAGCGTAGTTTCTCATATTAGAAATTGTCTAACATAACAGATTATAAAAAATATTGGTAAGGACAAAGCCATAGAAGGCAAATGGTATTTCTGATGTTTGAAGCCAAGGCGGAAAGAGGCAAGATGTTGCCTGGTGTCATGATCAGGAGCCGAGGAGCCAGCAAATAAGGGATGAATTGGCACTCATTTCCAAAACCACCTAAATAAAGAACTCTGTGGGATTTACAGAAACCAGTACCAAACACAATACATTTTCTACTCTTTGTTAACTTTTATTTGCACAATAAAACTGACACGTAAGTAGAGACAAATGTAATTTCCATCTTTCTACTTCTCCATTCAGAGTTCAAGGCAAATTTTGTCTTTTACCTGTTCCCGGTGATGTACTCAACTGAATCTTCTGTCTTAAATCCGTTCGCTGTATGCTATGAAATAGAAAGAAAGGATGCAAAAAGAAGGTATCAACTACTAACTGCAAAAAAAGAAGGAAAGGGGAACAATATACCTCAGGAATGTGCTGTGCAAGATTTCTTTATTGTGAAATCTTGGGTATTTCTACACAGAAGGAAGACTGACCAGGTTACTCCCAGGTAATCAGGTATAGGATTGCATCTTAATTATACCAAAATCTTAGGCAAAATCTACACATTCTGGGGTCAAACAGAGCATCCTCAACAAAAACACAATCCCAACGTTGTGTTTTCTGCCAAAAGGAGAAATGCCATAAGCTTTCCCTCAGCAACTCTCCCCCTGCCACTCCCCATTCCTAGCTATGGGTTCTGAGATGCTTTTGTCTTGAGGGTTTGCAAGGCAGAAAGGCAAAATGTGTGTTTTAATAAATAAATAAATAAGTGAAATTAATAAAGTGGGAGCCGTGGCTGGGGATCTTGCTCCTGGCACTGCAAACACAAACATGCCCCTTGGAATGGCATCATCAAACATGGAATGGAGAATCCTGGGTTTGCTTCTGCTCATATAGCTCTGCCCAGTACTCTCCCTGCTCTGCATACTTTGGCAGTGCAACTTCACACGTTTTCTGCCAACAGAATTCCTATGGGATATATGGTTTGTTTGAGTATTTATACAAGTTAGTGCTTAATTGCTTTTTAATGGTTTGAAAAAAATGTTTTTAACTGTTTCTCTTTTATCTGTAAGCCACTTTGAGTCCCTGTCTGGGGAAAAGGTTGGATCAAGTACTGGTAAGTAAGTAGTAAATAGTCCTCATTCACACATAGGAAATCACAGCCAATTTGCTCCTCCCCATTCATTCTGCTGCAGTACTGCACTGAGCTAAGTTATGGTTTGGTTTAGCATGTAATCCAGACAAAGCATCAGCTGTAAACCACAGGACAAAGTTTGTCTGGAGACAGAGAAACCCTGAGCTTGGGCTTGGACAACACATTAAGCCAAACTAGCAGAAGAAAGGCCAGGAAGAAGCAAAGGGGCCACCATCTCTTCTCTGGGAGCCTGTACGTTTGCTCAGAGCCATGGTTTAGCTTAGCATTACACATGAGCTTATTAACAGTGTGATAAAATGATGAATTAGTGCAAAATTTGATGTCAGTTACTCATTGCATACATATTATCTCAGTATATTTACTATATATGCAGTGAACATTTGATATCTCAACATCAATTCCAGTGATATTTAATTTTGAGACATGGCATTTGATTTCAGAATTAGTTATTTGACAGTGAACATTTGACAGTATTTGATAGTCAGCATGCAATGTTTAATTTAATTTAATTGCTGGTATGCAATGGTATTTAACATTTAACAGATATGGCATTATATGTAATGGTATTTAGTATGTGGTGCTGCTTCAGAGTGGACAGCTTATAATATTCATATCTCATAATAAAAGAGAATCATAAGATTATCCATTTATTTTTGTTAGTTGCTTTTCATTATACAAATAATTCTAAAGCAGATACTCTATCAATAAAACACAACCAAGTCATTCAACCAGTAAACAATAGAGCACAGTTAAAAGGGGAGAGCACAAACACAGTCAAACAACTATTTATATAGTGCAGCATCACAGACATAGCCCAAAGTCTGGGTGAATAAATAGGGCTTCGGCTGGCTTATAAGACTTAGCACCAACTAACTGCAAAGTCCAACGTAATTGAATTTTGTTATAAAAATTCACGTTAAGGATTTGAGGATTTGAATTTGACATTTTGTTTTCAACATTTGAATTTGACATTTTGCATCCATGTTTTTAATATTCCTAATATTAATCAGAGTTCTAGAAACAGCCCTGAGAGGATATTTGTTTGCAATCCACCTTGTCCTAGGGTCCATGACACTTCTGATGGAGCTGAGATGGAAGACACAGGGTCTCCCAGGCACTGCCCACTGCCTTGCAGCCTGTCATGTGGGCTGCTGATTCTATAAGAATAATAATTTATAATAATTTATTATTTATACCCAGCCCATCTGGCTGGGTTTCCCCAGCCACTCTACAGCTAGGCAAGTGAGAAATAGAAGTGTGGACCTACGAAACCAATCCTGGTCCCACTCCTTCTTCACCAAATCGTGTGGTGGTGGCGCTCTTAACACTATGCTGCAGAATGGTGACATGGTTGCCACAGTGCAAGCGAAAGCGCTCTCTCCAAATCCGCCCCCCATCCCTACCCCACAGCACCTCTCTGAGGTCGGTGTGTGGATGAGAACTGGGGCTATGCTTGACTCCTGTGCCTGCTCCCACAACCACCGCAAGCAGTTTCTCTAACTGTAGCATGCTTGCCTCAGGGTGCAAAGACAATCTTAACAAGCTCAGCAGAGAGCAGAAAGAAAGGGGAAATTGTTCCGTTACCTCTACGTTTATTACATCCACCTTAACGTTCGGAGGTATAGCGAGCTCTGGTTGAAAGTGGCCGGCAATGGCCACCAGAAGATGCAACGTGGACAGCAAGTCCTTCCTGAAGATGGCTAAAATAAGAGCACGGGGCAAAGTGTAAACCAATTCATATTTGGAAATACCGTATAAATAAACCGTATCTGGAAATGGTTCAAATGCTAGCAGATTTCGGTACAATGGTACTCTTTCAAAAGCTGCGGGGGTATGTAGCTCCTGCTGGCGCCAGTGTGGGGTGGGGGGCTCTTCTTTGACTGGAAGAAGTGAGGACGGGGCTTTATAGCCAGTGGGCCAAGATGTCCTAAACAAATGCACGCTTAGGCTGGCCCTGAGTCTCTATTCCTCAGGAACCCTTGTTGTTTTAGTTAACAAAATGGTGATCCTTATGACAGAAGTGTGTGTGTGGAGGATCCTTGGGGCAGTATAAAATGCACGCCTTATCAGCAAGGGCCAGGCCACAGACAGGCAGAGATGGAAAGTCGCTTTCCACCCACACTCCATCTTGTCTCCAAGTGCAGCAGTAACTTTCCTCCACAGCAATTAATGCTCACCACTCATTTATCTGGGAGGAAATATCTGCTGCAAGGCTAAACTTGCACTTAGCACCTGGGGACTCCAGCAATTAGGAATCAATGCTGTTTTTATCTGTATAGTCCAGACCTGGGTTTGTTTCTTGGGAAGACTAGGGTGCTGGTGACTGATTTTTATATAAAATATTACTTTTATGCTGACATATTTTTGTGGGTAGGTGCCTTTGTGTTTCTCCTGCAAATGTTATAAGAAACCTAGCCATGAGTTTGTCAGGAGTTACAACTTTTGTTTGGGGTATTTGGTTCTTTTACTTCCGGTCTAGAGGATCTTCTTCCTTTACACCACTAGATTCCCAAGATAAGAAAAAGGAAGGGGATGCATTATTATTCAGTATCTGGTTTGTGTTTTGCATTTGTACATACAGTCTACACTCCATTTCAGTTTGCTTTCTTCTAGCTGTAAACACTGGTTCACAGATTTCAGAATAATTTCAAGTTTAAGCCTTTGTTTCTTCTCTGTCAAGGCAATTTCCTCTACTTCCAGACTGAGGGATCCAAGTTGCTCTAGGAGGTGAAAAGGAGACAAGAAAAAAAGATGGAGAATATAGTCTGACTTCTGGTTCAGCAATTTATTGCAGGGTATTCTAATTCCTCCAGGAAGCCCTGGCACAAAAGTGTCTTATTTTAATTCACACAACACCAACCTCCAGCATTGTGTACTGAATTTTAAGTGGTGTGAGCCTCTTCCAGAGCCATTTTGTGCCTGAAAAGCTGTAGAAAAGCCTAACAGCTAATAGATGTGCGTCCTTCATTCACTTAGGGCATTCAGAGCAACCGCTGAAATGAAAGTGAAAGGTCATTGACAAAAAATCTCTTTGTGTATCTTATAGAACACTCAGGGGTCTGGACTGTAAATACTGTATTGTTAGATTTCTATGAGTCCACATTTTTCCAAATACCTATTTTTATATGCATTTTTGCCAAATCGACACAATTTTTCAAGCAATTTATCCAACAATGCATTTTGCAAGTTATTTTCACCAATATATGCATGCACAGTTTTGTGTACTGCAAAATTTGAAGCAGTTTGAATGTTGAAGGATAGCTGTTCTTTGGTTCAAGAAGTGCAAATTAGTCACATTTCTCCCCTGCCCTAACTCTAAACACACACAAAGAAAAGGTAACAGCAAATCAAGGACCTGTGGCAGGAACCACGAAGCCGTATGAATTATCAGTCACTGAAGGCTAGCAGTGCTTATGTTTTGTCCTTTTCGAGGGTTAGTCTTTGTCTCTGCTTTTCCCCGTCTGCATAAAATCCTGCCGTTGGCAAGGCCTTCTTCTCTTTCTTCATTCTATATTCTTCAAAATTATTTTCTTTTGCTGCTCCCTTCCTGTCAGGCTCCCACAATATCTGGTCATGATGGTCACACAAGAACAACATGCTACCATTATGTGTGCATGCATGCTATTTCTGCACAGGATGATCTTGATTCTGTGTGCAAGTGTTTCAAGGATACACTAAGTTGTGGCAGGAACAAATTGCAAGAAAGCCAATACATAGAAAACTAAATTATCAGAGAGAGTGTGGGAGAAGAAACATGCCATTCAGGCTTCAGAATATTTCAGTTATCTGGTTGATCTGCACGTAAGCTAAGAAAAAGAGCTGGTAATAAATATTAATTATAGGAGGTCACTCTGTGATGAGATTTATTCCACAATACAGGTATTTCCAAATGCCCACATTTAAAACAAAAATGGCTTACCTATGAGATGATGAAGTATTAATCCATCATACATGTCTTGTTCAAGGCTTTTCACCACAATGTGTTCATTCTTGAGAGTCGTGTTAATCCAATCCATAAAGAACTGTGGGGGGAAATGTTGTCTTGAATAACAGCATTTGGGTATTTTCTCACTTCTTTTTTTTTGAAAAAAAAGATAGAAATCAGATTTACTTCAACAATCTGTGCCAAAGTATCCTAATTCTGTAATTGGTGGTTATTGTAATGTAAAAGTAAAATGGAAGAGCCCTAAATTTAGCATATATGTGTGTGTTTTTAGTTAAATTTCATGCACTTGACAAGAGTGGCATGCTTTTGTACACTGCTTGGAAATTCTGAATATTAAGCAGCATATAAGTATCTGAAATGCAGAAATAAAATATATTTTAACATTTTAATTCATTCCAGTATATATTTTTAACCAAAAAAGTTCATAGAATTGTAGAGTTGGAAGGGACCACAAGAGTCATCTAGTCCAACCCCCTGCAATGAAGGAATCTTTTGGTCTGACATGGGGCTCGAACCCACGACCCAGGCATTAAGAGTTTCATGCTGTACCAAGTGAGCTATCCTGCTGGCATATTATCCCCAAATTGCTGAAACGTCACACCAGCATCTTGCAGAGAGCAAGAAGAGGAGGAGGAGGAGGAGTTTAGATTTGATATCCCACTTTATCACTACCCCGAAGGAGTCTCAGAGCGGCTAACATTCTCCTTTCCCTTCCTCCCCCACAACAAACACTCTGTGGGGTGAGTGGGGCTGAGAGACTTCAGAGAAGTGTGACTGGCCCAAGGTCACCCAGCAGCTGCATGTGGAGGAGCGGAGACGCGAACCCGGTTCCCCAGATTACGAGTCCACCGCTCTTAACCACTACACCACACTGGCTCTAGTCCATACAAGGTCTAGTCTAGTCCATATTTAGCCAGAAAACCAGTGGCAGAGAATGAAGCTCACATTACTGAATGCTCCTCTAAACAAGCAGTCTCTCTGCACGCTGAAAATGGACACGTCAGTAAAAGGGCTAAGCGAGAATCTTCTTTAGTTTTGGAGGTGGAGATATTTTCTGTATGTGGGAGAGCTAAGCTACTGGCAGTCTGAAGTAGTAAGAAGAAGCTTCCTCTCAGCTGGCTTTGACACCCGGGGGGGGGGGGTCTCAAGCTCTTCTGCAGAATACTTTAATAATCCTCAAGTGTTTTCATGAAAGCTTAAAAAATGGTTGAAACAGCTCTGGGCTGCCAGTCCTCTCTTCCCAAGCGAAAGAAAGAAAGAAAGAAAGAAAGAAAGAAAGAAAGAAAGAAAGAAAGAGAGAGAGAGAGAGAGAGAGAGAGAGAGAAAGAAAGAAAGAAAGAAAGAAAGAAAGAAAGAAAGAAAGAAAGAAAGAAAGAAAGAAAGAAAGAAAGAAAGAAAGAACCCTTATTTTTAAGAAAGCAAAGATGGTTACATGCAAGGATGAGGCTTGCTAGGGACAGGGGTGTCATTTCCTGTCAGGGAGTTTGGGATCTGTAGCGTCTTCTGCCTCCTAAACCAAATTGTGAGGCAGAGAGAACTACAACTCCCAGGACCATCCCAAGACATTTCGGTCCCTGAAATGAACTACAAAATGATGCGCCCCTCCCCACCAGGGAAGAAGGGGTGAGTGAACATCTGCATCAGGAACAAGGGGGGAATAAAGATCTACATTGGGATCTGTTGCCCCTGTGGATTCTGCTGCCTGAGACAGCCACCTCACCTTGTCTCATGTGTGGGTCGGCCCTGACAGCTCCCATGGTTCCCAAGCATCATTTTCTGCCCAGGAGCCCATAGTTTTCCTAGCAAGTGCTCCTTACCACCTGCACTCCACATTTGCTTGGGGAATGAGAGAGAGAGAGAGAGGGAGAGAGAGGGGGGGAGAGAGAGAGAGAGAGAGAGAGAGAGAGAGAGAGATGGACTATTTCAGGGACGTCCAACAGCTAGATCATGATCTACCAGTAGATCAGTGGACATCTGTGGTAGATCCCTGGTAGATCCCTGGCTCCCCCCAAAGAAGCTCAATAACTTTGAACTGAACCCCACAAAATGGGGTAGATCATTGCCAGTTTTTAACTCTGTGAGTGGATCGCAGTCTCTTGGTATTTCTATACTGCTCTCTCATAAAATATCAGAGTGGCATACAGCAATATGAAAGCTTTATGAACGATTGAAAGTGGTACAGAACCATCAATAAAATCAACAAGGCTGTTTGTGAACATCTTTAACAACCCCATAGGTCTGTCTTGAAGAGATGCCTGAAAGTCAAGAGAGAGGATGCCTGCCGTGTCTCTGCTGGAAGAGGGTTTCACAGGAAGGGAGTGGCGACATGAAATGCTCAACTTCAGATTAAGGCCGGATGGGTCACTTTAACACTGTTGTTAGGAGAGCCCATTCCCCTTCCAGAACTGAAATTCCCAGAGTGGTAAACAGCCAATCCTTCTTCCCAGGAAACTCTGGGAATTGTAGTTCTGTGAAGGAAATGAGGCTCTCCAGCAACTCTCAGCACCCTTAGCAAGCTTCTGTTCCCAGGCTTCCTTGGGGGGAGCCATGAATGTTTAGAAGGTATAGGGCAGGTGGAGCCCTACTGCTACCCCCAGCCCCCCCAAGTGAGTTCAGTTAAGAAGAAGGACCAGCCCGCCCAACAAAATATTCCTCAAGTATACTGTTTGTCAACTTGGAATTTTATCTTTGAAAATGCGGTTGTTAAAAAAACCATAAGCTAACTAAAATAAGGAGAAAGTGCATTACTGTTTGTAGAGCTTCTAGTTTCGGGTCATTTCGAGAAGTTGGCTTTATGTATTTCCTCTTTTCTCCTAAAAGAGATGCAAACAAACAGCAGTTACAATTATAGAGTCTAACTCACCCAGGCCCTGAGAACAACCATCACCATTTCACCACCAAATTGCCAATTCAAGCAAAAAAGTCTAATAATTTGGACCTGTGAAGGAAGCCCAGCACAGCAGAAGGCAAATGGTCAATATCACAAATTTGAAATTATAATTAAGGAAATACAAAGTGACATCATCTTTTTTGAAGGGTGATAAAGGAGGCACTTCCTAAAAGGAAAGCACATAATAAAAATGATGCCCCATTTGTCTGACTTAACGCTGTGATAGATAATCTTCTCAGTTAGGTTAATTTATCAAGTACTGTCAGAGCTGCTCCCCGATCCCAGCTCACAGAGGATCACGCTAGCCAGCGATCATTAAATAAAAGTCTTTATTGAATTACAGTTTCCATTCTCAAGCTGCTGCGTGCAACTCTACGTCTTATGGCTAGACCGGCGAAGCTCCGTCTGAGTCTCCGCCCCTTGTACACCAACTTAATATCCTAGCCCTGCTCCACCTTTTCCGCCTGACTGTTCTTCTCTGGGTCCCTCTGCCCCCTGGGGTCTCTTCCTTCCGGGATTCTTCTGACGCCGACCCCCCGGACCCTCCTGTCTCCTTGCGCCGGGCTTTAGGACCTGGCTCCCTTTCCGGGCTGCCTACTGCGCCACCTTCCTGTGCATTTGAACTTGGCGCGCGCACCCAACCTTCCACTTTCCGTCTGACCGTTTCTTCGCTCCCCGATGGAGGTGTGGCCACTCCTGACTCGTGCCCTCCCCCCTGTTGTGAGCTGCCAGCGCTTGCTCCCTGGCGCCCTTCCTCTTCCCTGCTCTCTGGCGGTGACGCTGGTCCCGATTTCCAACTGCTCCCCTCTGAGTCCCCTCTAGCTCTATCTTCCTGGGGTGTCCCCCTAGGCTCCCCCCTTGCCCTGGCCACTGGTGCTCCTTTCTGTGAATCTTCTGATTCACTGGAAAGACTTGGAGATCTCGGGTCGTCGTCATCACTCATCTTTTCTTCTGCCTCCTCCCCCTCGCTCTCTGTTTCCTCCCTTGCCCTTGCCTCTGCTCCTGAACCCCTGACAAGTACGTTTGCATTTCCTAAACTGGAAATGGCAAGTGGTGGTGGAGACACCAACCTATCCAACAACGGACTGGATTAAGTCTAGAAATAATATTGAATTAATGAATCTGTTTTGCACATTTAGTCACACTTTCTATGGCGCCTCTTAACAACATACCTTGCGCAATGTCCTCCTCTTCTGAGAATGGATTGACTTGAAACTCTGGGAAAGCTTTGAGGAAGCTTGGCTCCATTGCTTTGGTTTCCTTCCCCTTGCAAACAGGAAGTCTGGGTTTACTTCCCCTAGAAACCATGGCAGAAAAATACAGGTGAGCAAGCTGTTCCCAGGGGAAAGCAATTCTAAAGCGGTGGCAATAATATCTATGTAACTGAAGCAAATGTGTTGATGGGATCTTATTTTGATGACATAAGACTCCAGACCCCAAGGTGTCTTTTGAAACATTTACCTCCAGTAAAATGGGGCTCTTCTGGGAACAACCTTTGACTATTCAAATCAGGGGGGGGGGGCAGCACTGCAAAATTGATGAAAGGCTTTCACACCAAGCTCACAAACCAAAACAAGCATAAATCCTGGGGAAAGCAAGGACTTTAAAAATGGACTTGACAATAAGAAAATAATTGAGAAGAATGAGGAAATTGACCATCTGGTATAAATTAAAGCCTGAAATGCCTGGTGAAGGATAATATAAATAGGACAAGGGAGATGCGGGAGGGGGAGACATGAAATCTACTTTTTTTTACAATAATGCTGTAACCCACACAACGACTTTCTCTTAACCTTTTGATATTAATACCAGCCACCTTTTGGAACCTCCAGTTCTGATTTAACTCAATATAAAAATGCTCATAAAAGGAAGTCCTAAGAAGAAATATAGAGGAGAATGAGCTCATGTCTAAACTCTGAATCCAGAGCTCAAGGCTCCCAATTCAGAGCTCAGCAAACACCATGATGCACACAGACACATGCATGTCTTACACGTTCCTTCAACTGCAGTTTTCAAGGCTCTCAAAGAAATCTAGGAAGCCTTCCTTCAACACTGCAGCTGGATGGGAAGGTGCTGGCATATCCGTAGCAGAGATGGATGGAGTTTTGGTTCCCCTTGGTTTCTCATTTTTAGAAACTTTAGTCTGGACATTTTCTCATCAGTTTGCAAACATCCTTTTTTTAAAAAAATTGCAAATAATTTTCTCTAATATGTTCATATGCTATTTTTGCTAATGTATGCATTTAGGCACACTTTCCTCTAATGTACACCTCTGTACATATTTTTTTGGTTGGAGAGTGGCATCAAAAATTCAGAGAAGAATGGACTTCAATGGATAGTTCTGGTTTGGCTCATGCATCGTTTTGGGAAGTGCAAATTAGGTAGGTTTGCATTAACATGAGAACCAAACCGATTTCTGTCACCCACGAAAACCTAAATAGGAATGTGCAGAGCAGTTACTGCCTTACAACCTTGGGCACCACAACACAGTAATTGGCTTTTTGCAGACTGCCCAGATGTGTGATCTGAGCACAGGAAACTCAGTTTGAGATGTTTCCTCTGTAAGGTTCTAAGTATTTCACACTTCCCCTAACCTAAGTAGTGGGAAGTTACAGGGCAGCATTTTTACAAGACCACTTTTTTATTTTTAGATAAGTACTGAAGACTTACTGTGAACTTTGTAAGAACCACCATTTAGAAATGCCCAACCTGAGCAGGTGAAGAGAAAGCAACGCTTGCTTCTCAGCAATCTTCTGTAGCCAGTTCTCAAAACTTTCTTCCCCCTCCCACATTCGGATACAGTGGTGCCTCTGGTTAAGAATTTAATTTGTTCCGGAGGTCTGTTCTTAACCTGAAACTGTTCTTAACCTGAAGCACCACTTTAGCTAATGGGGCCTGCTGCCGCCGTGCGATTTCTGTTCTCATCCTGAAGCAAAGTTCTTAACCCGAGGTACTATTTCTGGGTTAGTGGTGTTTGTAACCTGAAGCGTCTGTAACCTGAAGTGTCTGTAACCCGAGGTACCACTGTACTTTACAAACTGTTCTTTTCAGCTGTGCTGGACCTGGCAGACAGGTGTGGCTTCAGGACATTTTTAAATTACCCTAATGGTGGATCCTTAACAACTAGAGTAACAACTGGAGAGGCAGTGAAGTGCAGTGGGTAGATTTTGACTGGAGACACCTGAGTTCAAATCACCAGTCATTCTCTCTCAACCCAGCCTCACAGAGCTGTGAAGGTCAAGTGGGAGAACCACACATATGCTACTCTGAGCATTCAAATTGGGAAATAAATAAAGAGATTCCTATAGTTCAGCATCAACAAAAAGGCCATGCAAGAACCTAGACAGAGAGAGCCATCCCTTTGACACAAAACAAGAGCAGACACCATCCATAACATCACTTCTTGGGGGCGGGGGGTGGATTTGCAGAATATTTTCAGTCAGTCACATTTTATTTATAGCCAATGGCATTTGCAGAATATGACACTCTGAGCTGTACTTTCATTACTGAAATCAGAAAACCAATGAACTTTATGGCAAAGGCTCAATTTCTACCCATAGTTCTGTTATCATTTTCCCTAGTGTTCGATAGGAGTTTCTGAGTTAGTTCTTTATTAACTATAAACCCCAGAGAAATAGATCAAAACCACTTACTTTTGCAGATTCCACTGAGGAATGTGGACTCACTCTTTTCTTTTCTGCTAAGGACAAAGCAAAGAGAGACAAAAGACTCAGAAATTGTCCCAAAGAGGGAAAAATGCTCCATGGACATTTTAAGGGGGGGGTATTTAAAACTCCTCCAGCATCCAAATCATAGCAACTTTTTCCAGACATGATGCTTAAAAGAAGCAAATAGCAGCCAGCTGAAAGCAACTTCCTTGTTTTGTTCTGTCCCAAAGACTGAAGCTCGTAAATTTGCAGCAACATTCAACGGCAAGGAGGCTGCCTTTATACATACAGGAACACTCAAGAAAATCTTTTTAAGTACCAACCTAAATTCCCAAGCAAGATCTTTGGAGAGCTGTATTGAGGCAGGCAATCTATTTTGACCCCATTGGATCAGTTTTGCTTTCAGAATGCTGCCTTTGTGTGTCGCGCAACCAGGGAGAGGAAGTGGGTGCACATCCTTCCTATAGGTGACATTTCAAAAACAAAACCACCGTTCCTCACACATTAGCGCAACCTATGCACTCCCATATCGTCCAAGAGTCACTATCCACACATACTGGTCTTGTTGGCATCTGTGTGTCTCAGTCCCTGGAAATTGCTGTCTCTAGTTAGCTTTTGAGAACAATTGTGAAGCTGCTGCTTCTTGTTATAAGAAGTGCTTATAAGTTCTAAGTACATATTCTGCAATAAGTAAAACACTTTCCGTAAATTCAACCAGAGCTAATGTGAGATTAAACAATGCTCTGCCTTTTTAAAAGAGTGCTGCTGTCATTTTGCCAACACACCCCACTTCAGAAGAAAGCAAAGGGCAGACTAGAATGGAATAAATTAATGCAACAAACAGAAAACAACAGTGAGCCGTCAACAATGTGTTGTTGCAGCAGGTGGGGGGGGAGGAGAGGGGGAGGCAGGAGATGCATAGACAAAAACATATCATTTTCAGCTATGGGAATATTGGTGGATACACATTCCTACCCTTCAGAAACGTTATAATTGCTTCCAATGGCCCAAAACAAAAATTTGGCAGCAGTTATGGATCTGGATTAAACATGCATATTACAATGGGTCAATAATTCTGGTGTGTGCAATTGACTTGTTTTTTTAAAAAAATTGGTCTCCTGTAGGCCGAACATTGTATCTAATGCTGTATGAGCAAAATTCTGCTTGTGCAACAGGAATTCCCCTTCTCCTCTACCCTATCACACACACACCCCAAAAAACTGCTCCAGAGGGGGGTGGCTGTAGAGGAGGGGCACATTCTGCTGTGCCAGCAGAAATCTCCTGCCAGTGGCGCCAACTCCAGGGGGGCCCAGGGGCTCAGGCACCCACAAAATTTTTGCTGTGGGTACCCAGCCTCCGCCCTCCCGCCACTGCGTGTCCCCAGTTGCCGCCTTGCCTCTGGCTCTTCAGCACCATGGGTGTGACTGGGCCGGGGCCTGCACCTCCACCACAGGGCCTCTGTTGGGGCCTGATGTGGCTCTGGACATGCTTCTGGGATGCAGTCACAGTGGGCCCCAACAGAGGTCCTGCCGCGCAGGCCCCAGCCTAGTTGCTGCCAGAGTGCTCACATGCGACCTTGACAGATTAGAGAACTGGGCCAAAACAAACAAGATGAATTTTAACAGGGAGAAATGTAAAGTATTGCACTTGGGCAAAAAATATGAGAGGCACAAATACAAGATGGGGGACACCTGGCTTGAGAGCAGTGCATGTGAAAAGGATCTAGGAGTCTTGGTTGACCACCAACTTGACATGAGCCAACAGTGTGACGCGGCAGCTAAAAAAGCCAATGCAATTCTGGGCTGCATCAATAGGAGTATAGCATCTAGATCAAGGGAAGTAATAGTGCCACTGTATTCTGCTCTGGTCAGACCTCACCTGGAGTACTGTGTCCAGTTCTGGGCACCACAGTTCAAGAAGGACACTGACAAACTGGAACGTGTCCAGAGGAGGGCAACCAAAATGGTCAAAGGCCTGGAAACGATGCCTTATGAGGAACGGCTAAGGGAGCTGGGCATGTTTAGCCTGGAGAAGAGGAGGTTAAGGGGTGATATGATAGCCATGTTCAAATATATAAAAGGATGTCATATAGAGGAGGGAGAAAGGTTGTTTTCTGCTGCTCCAGAGAAGCGGACACGGAGCAATGGATCCAAACTACAAGAAAGAAGATTCCACCTAAACATTAGGAAGAACTTCCTGACAGTAAGAGCTGTTCGACAGTGGAATTTGCTGCCAAGGAGTGTGGTGGAGTCTCCTCCTTTGGAGGTCTTTAAGCAGAGGCTTGACAACCATATGTCAGGAGTGCTCTGATGGTGTTTCCTGCTTGGCAGGGGGTTGGACTCGATGGCCCTTGTGGTCTATTCCAACACTATGATTCTATGATTCTATGCCCCATGCCGTACCATCATGATGTCACATGACATCGTGATGTCACATTGTGCCTCAATGTCATGATGTTGCAATGTGGCGAGCATGCGCCGGGCACCCAAAGTCTGGGGCCCCAGTCAGCACTTCTGTCTCCTGCGCAAGCAGAACAGCAGTGTTAGATGCATCCGAGGGTCTCCCACACCGAATGGTTGTGCTAGTAAACACTAGCATAGTATATTGTTTATTATTAGCCAGGGGCCAGGGGCCTAGGTCACCTACCTCACCCCTTGGAAACTTACCTGGCAAGGGGGCAGCAGAGGAGGGCAGGCAAAGTGACTGCAGCATAGAATTACATTGGGATCCACAGGTAGCATGGATAGCAGCTGCAGCTGCTTCCCTCTGGTCAGCGCTCTGGGACCTGCCTTCCTCCCCCCCCCCCATCACATCAGGTGCTGAGAGGGGACCAGCTGGTGAGAAATGATTTTGGTGTCCTTTGGAGAAGAACAGCAAGTTGTGCACTTCCTAGGTTGTGGGTATCTTGTTCGTTGCCTGGGATAAGAACTTAGCATAATTGGATGTTATTTTGTATGTATTGCTTAAAGACTAGCTTCTGGGTTAGGGTGGGCTATTTTATTATGTATATGTGTATTGTTGTTATATGTTTGAAATAATGTAATTTTAAAAAGTGAAAAAGAAGAAATTATACCAGAGCTGCTTCCACTGTACTTTCTGGTAGTGCCTCACTACATCTTGCTAGATGTTGCCTTAAATATTTAGGGCAGGCTAAATTCACCACGGATGCAGGTGGTGCTGTGGGTTAAATCACAGACCCTAGGGCTTGCCGATCAGAAGGTCGGCAGTTCGAATCCCCGCAACGGAGTGAGCTCCCGTTTCTTGGTCCCTGCTCCTGCCAACCTAACAGTTCGAAAGCACGAAGTGCAAGTAGATAAATAGGTACCACTCCGGCAGGAAGGTAAACGGCATTTCCTTGCACAGCTCTGGTTCGCTAGAAGCGGCTTAGTCCTGCTGGCCACATGACCCGGAAGCTGTATGCCGGCTCCCTCGGCCAGTAAAGCGAGATGAGCGCCGCAACCCAGAGTCGGCCACGACTGGACCTAATGGTCAGGAGTCCCTTTACCTTTACCTTTAAATTCACCACTGCAAATACTGAAATTGTATTTTTAACCATAACGTGGACACCCCCATTAAGTATATAGCCCCTTAATTAGTAGACTCATATAATGCTCAGGATAGGACCAGTAGAATGCCTTTTGTCCCAGGAGAGTACAGACAAAAAAAGATCTACTGAGGCGCTGAAGCTGCCTGAGAGGGGCTACCAAGAAGAGCAGAGGCCTTTTGGCACAGCCATTTGCATTTCAGCCTATGATCCCTAAGCTATCAAGGAGACAGAAAGATGTGAGAGGTTTCCCTGCAAGGCCCTGGACATGGCTCAAGGTCCCTCCAGGTCCTTCAGACACGGAAGACTCCTGAGACTGGCAGAAACTAGACAGTATGACTGCGAAAACAGCAACAACTTTGAAACAAATATCTGAAACAAAATGGATAAGAAATTTATAACATCCTGGTTATTTCACATATACTTCTTTTCTTAAAGAGTTCAAATGAAGGCTCGGCTGAATTTTCAGAGATTTACCCATACAAGCTGTCTAACAGGGCTGGTTTGGTTGCTTCAACAGTTGATGTACACTGTAAGCTTTTGGGTGAAGGGAAAATGTCCTATGCATGGAACAATCGTATTGGTCACCCATGAACTTGACATTTAATTCTGCTTTCACAAGACATAAAAGGGGCCTCCGATTAGCCAAATACAAGGGGCTTCTGGCTCAGTTTCAAGACTGCATATACATACATACTTGGGTGGAAAGCAGCTTGTTTGGTACAGGAAAAAGGGAATTTGTATATGTATGTGTGGAGAAAGCAAGAGAGAATATTCAGAAAAAGTACAAACCTGCTTACTGATTTGGATCTCAGCTCATTGGTGAAGCCAGTCTTTGTTCAGGTTCACAATACTCATTGCACAATACATTCACTATTTCATTATGTCTTCCTGAAGTTTAGTACCTAGACTGATGTGGCTTGAAAACTCTTGAGTTTAGTTAGGGTGTGTGTGTGTTTTTTCAAAAAGAAAATTTCTTCAGGCCTCACTTTAGTACCATAGATGGTGGTGCAGAAAGCAAAGATTCTTATTTCCCTGTGTTGAGATGGAGGCCTGGTCCTTTGCCCTTGAACACAGGCAGCCAGACTGTGTCTCAGCATCAGAAACTTCAGATCACTCCAAGCATTGGCTTTCCATCAGTTTCAAAATGGGCCAGGCAGTGGATTCTCACACTTCTTTTCAAATATTTTAACATTCTGTGAAAAGCTTCGTTCTAAAACAAGTCAGCTCGTAAAATCCGACTGAGCTGTGAGATTAAAATTGGAGCAATTTAAATAAGTAGGTCGGGTGGAAAGTGTATACCTGGCAATGGCCTATTCCCCTCCCCAGGTGTTGCATAGGGAAGAAGTTAGGGCCCATGATGCCTGAGCCCATCAGGAAGACATATTGGATGGCCGTGTGCTGCTGCAAGGGCCAGAAATGTTGAATTCCCAAAGCAGCTTGAAAACGGAAAAGTATTCTTTTGGCTAGGATTTAAAGCCTTGCCCAAGGACGGGCAGAGGTCCTAGGAACCTAGCTTTGAAGGGTGTTTCCCAGCCAAAGGAATGCACACGGCAGATAGTTACCTCTTTATTGCCAAGCTGACACAGTCGTTTCTACGGTTCTGAAGACCCATCTAGTGTCTGGGCAGCTATTCCCAGGTCCACGCTCGTTGCAGCGACTGCAGCAACAGGGGACCACTCTCTCTCCATCACTTTGATATGTACCTCCTCCTGACGGGCTGCACACACACAGCGGGAGACTACTCCCCCGTGACAACTTCCTCTGCTCATCCCATTTCAATCCCCTCCTGGTTCTGGGAGACAGTGGTGCAGGAGAGGGTGGGGAAGCCCCGGCCCCCCTTCCCTTGCCTGACCTGCCTCTTCCTCCTCTTCTTCCGACCCATCCTGTGCTCCACCCTCCATCTCCGAAGCTTCCCCTGCCTTGACTCTTGCCTCCTGCCTGGAAGTCGGGCTGCCTCTCCCAAGTCAGCCTCCAAGTCCCCTTTTCCTGGAGCACTCATCAGCGCCCTGCCTGCCCTTGACATTAGTGAGGTGAAGGAAAAGAGGGCCTAAAGGCAAGGATTTGGCAGGGAAGGTCTCTGTAATCCTCACCATTTACATGCTTAGGA